GGGGAGATGGCTCAGTGGAATAAGCGCTTCCCTGGCAAGTGCAAGGGCCTGAGTTCAATCCCTGGTTCCGGGGGGAAAAAAAAGAAAAGGAAAATAAATTATAACTTAAATTTCTGGTATCATGTTGAGTGAAAAATCAAATAATTGAATTTAGTTGGTTGTCTTTTAAATCTCCTTCTGAGTCGCATATAATTTTGATATGAAATTAGTACCAAATATAATTCTGTGAGTGATAGAGAAGCAAATACTTATTCCAATAACTTGCAGTTGATGCAGAATTATTTATGATAAATTAAATTCAGCTGTTCTTTAAGTTGCTGGGAAAATGTAAGCCTTCTATGCCAATATGACATTCCCATATAATTGACTTTGAGAGAGTAGAGAGGTTGTTTCCTAGCAGATACTACTCGTTCAAAGGCGTACTGACCAGTAATATAGTAGCTCGTGGGTTGCACGGTTAGCTTGAGATCCCCTTTAGAATTGAATTTTCATGTTGGTTAACCCGATCTGCTTGAGGGTACTGTGCACACAGGATTGCCGCTTGGAGTTCATACATAATCTGATTTTAAGCTTTGCATCTTAGAATTTAAATGATGATCTCAATGAGTTAAGCCTTTCAAATAGGGAATTCAAGGTAAGATTTATAGGTAAAGGGAGAAAAATATTCCAAAGCTCATCTTCTGACTTGAAGGACCTCTGAAGTATCTGTACTTTTTGAGAAATGGAAGACAATGTAAAAATTATACAACAAATGTTACAAAGTAAAACAACCAGTTACAGAATTTTGTACTAGAGGTCGAGTGATTAGGCATCCTGGTGTCTCAAGCCAGCTAATGTATGCCTGGTGGCCTGTATAATTATTAATAGTGCTCCTTTTGCGCTAGCATATGCCAGTATATAATTAACTATACCACTCATATAATTAATTACATTCAACATCTCTTAATAATAATCATTGAAGTGTGAATGTCTTAAAACAGTCCTTTGTTACATGGGTTAGGATTATAGTGTTTTCACACATGTCCCCGTGCTCCACAGGGAGCAGGAGGCTTATCCTTCTTCTGAACATTCTTGACTCATTTCTTTATTAGGACCAGCTTCCAACCAAGAATACCACCTGCGCATGCAGCCAGCGAGTGGGAGGGTGCATTTTCTCATCTTTCCAAGGTTTTGTCTGTCAGCAGCCATCTCTGGATTAACCAGTGGAATTCTGTTAATAAGTGTTGGAAGAAAGGAGCCTGAGGAGCTTAAAATAGACCAAATGGAAAAATCAAAGGCAGTAGAGTCATCAAGAAATAGTAGATGTTTTGATTCTCCAGAAAGTTACAGGTTCATCTTTTGAAATCTCTATATCTATTTGGCCTGGAGTTTCCCTTTAAATTACCTTTAATGTGCTAGGGGATCAAGTTGTTGAAAAGTAAACTTTATAGTAAAAACTTTCAAAGTCACTGAACTAAGATTATTCCTCTAGGAGTTATCGATTCCTCCCTGCCTCCCTTCTTCCCTTTCCTTTCCTTTATTTCTGCCCCCACCCCCACCCCTGGTGGCACTGACAATCCAAAATAGAGATGCTCTACTACTGAACTGTACCACAGCCTCTGCTTTTGTTAGTTTATGTTTGTGTATTTGCAACAGGGTCTTGCTTTCTAGCTTAGGCTGACCGCAGCATGTAGCTGTTCTCTTGGCTGAGCCTTACAAGTGCTGTAGTACAAGAGTACACCACTGCACCTGGGCAAGGACAGCATTCTTTTTCATGAGGCAGTAGGAAGGACAGGCGATGGTGGCATCCTCCGTCCTATCTTGACCTAGAACTGAGTATGTTCTTGCTAGGTGTGGATTGCCAGGCTAGTAGGTTTTTCTCTTTTACCCTTTTAAAGATGTTAATCTTTTGATTTCTAGCTACAGTTGTTTCTGTTAACCAACCCATGATGATTTTTTTTTTTTTTTTTTTTT